TAGAAGAGACCCGCTCTCAGAAGGTTTGAGCACACGAAAGGGCTCCTGTAGGCTTGCATGCACAGACACGCGGGGGATGTTCGGAGGTTCGTGGAAAATGCGTGCTATGCCAAAACGGGGAATTTCAAAAACGTTTTGCACCCAAATAAACTCGTACTTTCATTTTGTTTTCCACCAGCTTCTGGAAGTCCTTTTGCAGACTCCCACACACACTCGCAGAAATAGGGGCAGAGAGAGAGGGATAAAGCGAGTGTGCCAAAATATAAAAACCTGGTGAATCTAAGGAAAGGCTTGGCAGGGGTTGTTCTGTTATGCTATTGTTTAAACTTTTCTGTAAGTTTTTGTTTTTTTAAATGATTGTACTTTAAATTTACTTACTGATTTATTTTTAATTTGACCAAAGAGGGACAGAGTAAGAGAGAGAGAGAGGGAGGGAAGTGGGGAGGGAAAGCCAGAAAGCAAACTGCCAGGCCTGGGAATCGAACCACAATGGGCCATATAGGAGTCCTGCGCCCTTAACCACCAAGCCACCGCGTGGGCCTTGTAAATTTTTACCAATTTCCAATTAAAAGTTTTTCAAACCCCAGGTGGTTACTTCTCCCCAGTCTTCCTGCTCTGTTTGGGTCTGGAGACCTTAAGCCTGGTGGGACGGTTTTGAACACTGAGCTCTAAAGCCTGGGGAGGCCAAAAGGGCCAGCCCAGTTCCACGCAGCTGGCAAGAGAACATCACAGAAGTCCATTCGAATTTCTAAAACAAACCACAACTACGACTTCTCTTCAAGACAGAGATCTGGACGCAAGCACAGTCTAGGGATCCTTTCAAACGTCTTACGCTGTTTGTTATTCTACATAACCACACGAGAGGAATATAAAACCTTGGTCCCTAATTCCTTTTTTTCTTTTTTCTTTCTTTCTTCTTTTTTATAAATTTTGCCAGAGGGCACAAAAGCACTTCTAGCGGGCACGGCGACCCCTTCTCCTCCTTTACCCTTCCTTTTGGAATTTGGGCATGCACACGTGCACATAAACCAGGGTGTTAAGACACCGGGTCTGGGACTTGAACCATGGTTGACTACGTGGGAGTCCAGCGACATAGCCATTATGCTAACTGCTGATCCCAAACCAGGGTGTTTTTCAAGCCAGTGAGGCTGAGAATTGAACCTCAGAGTCGGCCGTGTGGGATCCAGCTGCCTGAACCACCATGCCATGGGTTGGCCCCAAGCCGTTAAATTCCATCTAGAGAAAATATCTCTGAGTACCGAAATAAAACGTGAATGTTTTCACCCCGCCCCCATACCTTGCCCCAGATGTTTTCCTGAGCCCTTATTTATTCAAGGAGGGCTTTGTTTTATTCTTTAACCTTGTTTTTATCTGAGAAGGATTTTTAGGTGCAGTTGAGCAAAGAGACATCTACTAAGCTGCTCTCTTATGACTTTTTTAAAAAAATTGAACTTTATTTATTTACTTCTTTTAATTTGACTGGAGAGGAACATGACACGAGTGAGTGACTTACTTATTTTAATTTGACCGGAGAGGAACAGGGCACGAGTGGGCGACAGCGAGAACGAGAGAGAGAGAGAGAGAAAGTGAGAAAGCAAGCCACCAGGTCTGGGACTCGAACTGAGGTCAGCCATGTGGGAGTCCAGCACCCTTAACTACCATGCCATCCGCCGGCCCCATCTTAAAAAGTGTATTGCCATTGATATCCACGTCCGAGTTTGGAACTACGCCTGGTTCTGTTCATAGCTATACACCTTAGAAAATACTTCTAGGAGGGACCAGCAATTAGCGTAATGGCTATGTCGCTGGACTCCCATGTAGTCGACTGCAGTTCGAGTCCTGGACCCGGTGGCTTAAATTCTCTGTCTTTCTGGCAAGCACACGCGTCCTATGGCAAAAATCTCTCCCTGAAAAGAAAAAGAAAATACTTCTAGGGGGCAGCAGGTAGCATAGTGGCTAAGGTGCTAGACTCCCACATAGCCAACTACGGTTAGAGTCCTGGGCTTGGCGGATGGCAACTCACACTGGGTACCTGTACATGCATGCCTAAGATTCCAAGAATGGAGAAGGGATTATGGCATGGCCATCTCCCCCGTGGAGTGATTTCTCACTTTCTTCTCTGTCTCCCTGCTGGGTGCATGTGCCCTACAGCAAAAATCTCTCTTTTTTTAAAAAAAAGGAAGGAAAGAAAGCCAGTATTTTTAGAATTTGTTTTGTGTGTGTGGACCCCATCCATGGCACCATGGCCGCAGCAAGGTGCTGAGAGGAAGGGGTTGGAAAAGACCCCAGGCGCTTTCCAAGTGGGAAAGGAAGGGACAGTCTATGACATGTGCAATCCCAAAGTCTCCCAGCTGTGATGCAAATGACGAGGGAGCTGATTGTTTACTGGTATGAGAGGAGGAAGGCTCAGGGATGGAAACTGGCTAGGGCAGTGGCCCCAAGCCCGGGCAGCGTGGGAGCACCAGGGCCAACAAGCCAGAGCCTTGACTCGGAAGGCTCAACCCACTTGGTTAAATACAGCCATTGCCTCTTACTGGCTTCAGCCACGGAAGCCGCAGGCTCCTGCTCTGCTGCCTGATGTGGGGAAACCGAGGCACGCGAAGCCCCTTGCCTGGCACTTGGCACCATCCACAGTCGTTCCTATTGACATCCGCAAAACCGAGAGCACTTCCACTGGGGTCTCCACAGTCCCAACTTCAGGCCTAACAGGTTCAGTAACTGCTTAATGACAGCCAGTTCCTCTGACCCGGCCTAGGCTGCTGCAGCTACCCCAGCTCTCAAATATCCACCCAGTAGAAAACAGAAGCAGACACACAACTCATTCGAGCAAACACGACTCTTCTCTCTGGGGTGATCACATAGTACCTGTGACCTCAGTGACCTCAGTGACCACAGTAAACACCCACAGCCGCTGTCCTGGTGAGATCTGGAAGGGCCAAACAACAGCTCACTACGGAAGATGCAGTTAATAACCAGAAGGACACAGAGACAGAGCCATGTGGAGGTTAAGACGGATTTGACAGGTCAAGTCAAACCCCTCTTGTAGCAGGCAGGTGGTGAACAGGTGTGGCATGCTTGCCACAAGGCCGCGTGTTAAACACTTACCTCGGCAACTTGAATAAGGGGAGTGTCGCCCAGGCCTTCAAACTTTTTTTTTTTTTTTTTGGAGAGGTTTTTGCTATAGGGTGCGTGCGCTTGCCGGAAAGACAGAGACAGACAGAGAGACAGAAAGCGAGAAATCACACCCCAGGGGGGATGGCCATGCCGCAATCCCTTCTCCTCCATTCTCCTCTTGGGATCTTGGGCACGCACACACATGCGCCCAGCGTGCACTTAAGCCACTGGTCCAGGACTAGAACCCCGGTCAACTACATGGGAGTCCAGCGACACAGCCATTACACCAACTGCTGGTCCCAGTTTTGAGAGCCCTTACTTTACTGAATGTCTGTTCCCCAACTGGCTTGTGAGCCTTTTAGTTGGGGCGACTTTTGTGCCTCTACTGTTTAATATGCTGCTTAGGGGCCAGGCGGTGGAATAGTGGTAAAGGCACTGGACTCCCACATGACTGACTGAGGTTCAAGTCCTGGACCTGGCAACGTGAAACTCACGGGGTACATATGCATGTGTGCCCAAAATCCCAAGAGGAGAATAGAAGAGAAGGGTCTGCTACATGGCCATGCCCCCTGAGGGGTGATTTCTCACTTGTCTTCCTCGGTCTCTGGCGAGCACGAGCACCCTACGGCAAAAATCTCTCTCTTAAAAAAAAAAAAAAGAAATGGTGGGACCAGCAGTTAGCATAATGGCTATGTGGCTGAACTCCCACATAGTCGACCGCGGTTCAAGTCCTGGACCCGGTGGCTTAAACTCACGCAGGGCGCGTGTGCGTGAATGCCCAAGATCTCGAGAAGATAATGGAGAAGGGATTGTGGCATGGCCATCCCCCCTGGGGGGGGTGATTTCTCGCTTTCTGTCTGTCTCTCTGTCTATCTGGCAAGTGCACGTGCCCTGTATCAAAAACCTCTCCAAAAAAAACAACAAAAGAAAAAGAAATGCTGCATGGAGATAGAAGACAATGCTGAATGAACGAAAAAGAAACCTCCCCTTGGGATCTCAGAGACCCTCAAATTCTAGAAGGTTGCAGTTTTGCAAACCCGTAAAGAAAGAATTCTTGTTCTAAAGGCCCATGGATCCCTCAGGGAGCCTTACAAAGCCCCCACAAAATGTGAGGTGTACATTTTCCTTCACTGGGTTCTCTTACAGTCCACAGTCCTAAAGCAGCTCAGAATTGGTGCTCTGGGGCCAGGCCTGTGGCCTGGCAGTTAAGGGAGCCAGACTCCAGATGGCCATCTGGGCGGTTCAAATCCCACACCCGGCAGCTTGGAAAACATGCCAGGTGCGTGTGTCTGTGCCTTAAATCCTGGCAGGACAGAGAAGGGACTGTGACATGATCACGTCCCACTAGGGGTTGCTTTCTCCCCCTCTCTTTCTGAAGCTCATGTGCTCTCTGGGAAATGAAAAAAAAAAAAAAAGGGAAAAAGAACTGGTGCCATGAGGGCATCTTCTGGGTCAGAGCCACGGGAGCTCGGCCACGGGAATCCCGTGGCGGGCGGGGCTCAGCCAGGCCGCCCTCACCATGTGTGTTGCTTTCCCTCCACCTCCAGCTCTGCCAGGATGAAGCACGTGCTCCACCCCCTGCTCGTCCTCGTGGTCACCTGGGTGTGTGTTGGGAGGGGCCTGCCGGACCAGCTGGAGACAGGAGGGGAGCCGTTGGCCCCCCAGTGGGAGCAGGCCGGTAAGAAGAACCTGAGCATGCCCCTCCTCCCCGTCGACTTCCACAAGGAGAACACGGTCACCAATGACTGGATCGCAGAGGGCGAGGAGGACGACGACTACCTGGACCTGGAGAAGATCTTCAGCGAGGACGATGACTACATCGACATTATTGACGCGGTGTCTCCGACGGACACGGCAGCCAGCGCCGGCAACATCCTCCAGCTCTTCCAAGGCAAGAGCCGGATCCAGCGTCTCAACATCCTCAACGCCAAGTTCGCTTTCAACCTCTACCGAGCGCTGAAGGACCGGGCCGGCGCTTCGGAGAACGTCTTCATCGCGCCCGTGGGCATCTCCACCGCCATGGGCATGCTCTCCCTAGGCCTGAAGGGGGAGACCCATGAGCAGGTGCACTCCATCCTGCATTTCAAAGACTTCGTCAACGCCAGCAGCAAGTACGAGCTCACGACGGTGCACAACCTCTTCCGGAAGCTGACCCACCGCCTCTTCAGGAGGAATTTCGGGTACACGCTGCGGTCGGTCAACGACCTCTACGTCCAGAAGCAGTTCCCGATCCTGGAGGACTTCAAGACTAAAGTGCGAGAGTACTACTTTGCCGAGGCCCAGGCGGCCGACTTCTCGGATCCCGCCTTCATCTCCAAAACCAACCAGCACATCCTGAGGCTCACCAAGGGCCTCATCAAGGACGCTCTGGACAGCGTCGACCCGGCCACGCAGATGGTGACCCTCAACTGCGTCTACTTCAAAGGTAAGACGCCCCCCGCCCCGCAGAGCAAACGCGCGGCGCTCTTCCAGTACGCGCAGACCGAACACCAGGTCCACACGGCCGACTCGGGGACAGGAAAGGGAGGACCCGATGAGGTGACATGACCAGCTGTTCTGCGGCAGGTATCGTGGCTTTTTGTTTTTGTTTGTTTTTTTTTTGAGAGGTTTTTGCTATAGAGCATGTGCGCTCACCAGACAGACAGACAGAGAGAGACAGAAAGTGAGAAATCACCCCCCAGGGGGGATGGCCACGCCGCAACCCCTTCTCTGACATTCTCCTCTCCACACATGCCTGGTGTCTGTTTCGAGCCTCTGGTTCCGGGACTTGAACCATGGTCAACTACGTGGGAGTCCAGTGATGTAACTATTACATCAACTTCTGGTCCCAAACCTCTCTTTTCAAATGGCCTCACTGGGACTCGACCAGAAGAAATCTGTGCTTTACTCTCTGAGCTGAGTGTGCTCAAGGAGAGACAGGAATGACTCAGCATTAAAACTCATACCCAAGGGACCAGCAGTTGGCGTAATGGCTATGTCATTGGACTCCCATGTAGTCGACCACGGTTTGAGAAAGTAGCCTGAAAAACACTCTGGGCGCATGTGCATGCATGGCCAAAATCCTGAGCGGCGACTGGAAAAGAAGGGATTGCAATGTGGTTATTCCATCCTGGGGGCAGATTTCTAATTTTCCCTCTCTCTGATTCAGTCTCTCTCCAGCAAGCACACATGCTCTATGAAAAACCCCCAAAAAAAAAAAAAAAAAAACCTAAAACAAACAAACAAACAAAACCCCAAAAACCAAAAACTCATACCCAAGAGAGACACTGTATTTTGATCTTTGCATCAAGGACGAGTAGGTAGCAGTGAAGGGCAGGGAACAAGGTTCCTGCTGGGTAGGCCCAGCCTGGTTGCATGGCAGCCCCGGGGTTTCAAGGCAGAGGCCCGTCTGCCTGGGGGAAGTGGAGCAGAACCTCTCCTGCCCTGCCAGTGCCACTGGCCTGCGGGGCCTCAGCAGCTGGGCAAGGCAGCACTCTGTGGGATGTGCAAGAAGGGCCGAAGAGGTCGGAGCAGAGACAGCACGGAGAGCCGGGATCTGGCCGCGGCTTTCCGCCCACACCAGGCCAGTGCCGGTCTGGCTGTGGGTGGACTCTGAGGCTGCGTCTCTAATAGCTCGTGAGACACAAATGTGCACACACGGTGTACATATGAACACGCACATGTCTCCTGCTCCTGGTTGTAAGAACTTCTGGAACGGAGCAAACCGATGTCTACATCCTGGTGTCACCACTTTGCGTTTGTGTGGCCACAGGTGTGCCGTGCGACGTCTCTGTGACTTCGTTCCTCCATCTTTGTCACGGAGATGATAACACTTCTCTGACAGGGTCGTGGGGAGAACCACGAAAGTCAGTGACGCAACACGTGGCGAGAGTTCAACTCGAGTTAGTGACACTGTGATCAGAACACTCGCATCACGTGATAAGCAGCCGGTCTGTCATTGGTGGGGATACTTACCTTGCTTTCACGAACAATGAACCTATGCTTAGGAATGGCTTTAGAAGAGGCCAGTGGAAGGACCAGCAGATGGCGTAAGGGTTACGATGCTGGACGACTCCCACATAGTCACTGACTGTGGTTCGAGTCTTGGACCCGGCGGCTTAAAACTCATGCTGGGTGCATGCACGAGCGTGTCCCAAATCCCGAGAAGAGAATGGAGGAGAAGGGACTGTGGCATGGCCATCAGGTGATTTCTCACTTTCTGTCTCTCTGTCTGTGTCTTTCTAGCAAGTGCACAATAGCAAAAAATCTCTCTGTCTCTCAAAAAACAAAAAAACTCCCAAGCAAAATTCTCTCTTGAAAAAAAAGAAGAGGTCAGTGTAAGACGTTCTGGCAGCACTGAGGCTCTCGGTCCTGCCAGTCTTTAGGTGCCTCTAGGTACGTCCCAGGAGCTTCTGCATGAGCCTGGCCGGTGCTCAGGGGCAGGCAGAGAAGTCCTTGCCAGCATGGGGTAGAGGAGCCTAGGCGTGGTCGGCTTACAGTCCCTGGACACGGTGACCGTGTCACACCCAAATGTGGAAATGGCAAACGCACCTGCTTCCCGTCCCCGCCGCGTTGGACTGGTCACTGACTGAGAGTCAGAAAACACTGAATACTGGCAGCACCCACTCATTCACAACGCACCTCAAACCAGAGGCGAGGAGGAATGCGATTCTAATGGATAGCTCTCAGATCTCTGCTACTGATTTGATTTTGAACGCTACGATCACTCTGTAAAGCACAATGAAAACAGAAGTGGAGGGGCCAGCAGGTAGTGTGGTAGTTAGGGTGCTCGATCTCACATGGCTGAATCCACAGTTCCAGTCCCAGACCCGGTGGGCAAAAATACACACTGGGGTGTGTGTGCACGAATGCCCCAAACCCCGAGAGGAGACGGGGTTGCAGCGTGGCCAACCCCTTGAGGGGATGACTCCCAGGAAGGCAGGCCCTGAAGTCTGCAACTGAGCCAAATTCCCCAAGGGATCTGAATGCTTGCTCCGGGGTGGGGACCACTGCCCTCACAGAGCATTCTAGTAACTGCCCGGGGCCGACTTCACAGGATCCTGGGTGAATAAGTTCCCAGTGGAAATGACCCACAACCACAACTTCCGGCTGAACGAGCGCGAAGTGGTCAAGGTTCCCATGATGCAGACCAAGGGGAACTTCCTGGCGGCGAACGACCAGGAGCTGGACTGCGACGTCCTGCAGCTGGAGTACGTGGGGGGCATCAGCATGCTCATCGTGGTCCCCCACAAGCTGTCTGGGATGAAGGCCCTCGAAGCACAGCTGACGCCCCAGGTGGTGGAGAGGTGGCAGAAGAGCATGACGAATAGGTACGTAGGGAGTGTGTGTGTGTGTGTGTGTGTGTGTGTATACGCGTGTGTGTACGTGTGTCCTTTTCACCTCCCAGAGACTGGGGCTGTGCAGGGGTACCGGCACTCTGGCTGTTTTTTGTTTTGTTTTTGTTTTTCTTGGGGAGAGGTTTTTGCTATAGGGTGCATGTGCTTGCCAGAAAGACAGAGAGAGACAGAGAGACAGAAAACAAGAAATCACCCCCCAGGGGGCATAGCCACGCCGCAATCCCTTCTCCTCCATTCTCCTCTCGGGATCTTGGGCACACACGCACATGGGCCTGGCGTGAGTTTAAGCCACTGGGTCTGGGACTCCAACCGCAGTCGACTACGTGGGAGCCCAGTGAAATAGCCATTATGCTAACTGCTGGTCCCCATCTTTTTTTTATTTTTATTTTTTTATTTTTAGGTTTTTCCATAGGGCGCATGCACTCATTGGAGAGAGAGACATAGCCAGAAAAAGGGGAAGTGAGAAATCACCCAGAGGGGGGTGGCCACGCAGCAATCCCTTCTCTTCCATTCTCCTCTAGGGGTTTTGGGCTCGCGTGCACACGTGCCTGGTGTGATTTTCAAGCCACCAGGTCCGGAACTCAAACTGTGGTTGGCCACATAGCAGTCCAGTGGCGTCATCGCTACGCTGCCTGCTGGCCTCGACGGTTCTGATTTTATTAGGGCCTCGGGAAAGTCGGATTGTATTTTCTATGCAAAAATGTGTCGTGACTTTCCTGACGACCCCTTAATCCACCGACCCAATATTCAACTCCTTAATGAGCAAAGTAAGAAATGCCTGAAACTGGGGGACTAGAGGGAATTCTTTCAGATATGTTCTCAAACGATAAGCCAGCGGAGCTCCTGCTGCCGACCGCAAAGGGGGGCCGCAAAGGGGGGAAATGACCCCCGCAGCCTCGAGGAGAGGACCACACAGCACAGGGCCATTACTCAGCGTTGAGTAACTGCAGCACCGTGGGTGACCTTTCCAAACCCTCCAGGGATTCTGACGGGGGGTGGTGGTGGTTCTGTGGCAGATGCAACCCAGGGGAATAGGCTGTGGACATTTAAGGGGAAAAACGTGATTCTTTTGTCATTTGTGGCTCAATAAAGCAGGGTTCCCCTTTCTCTGGCTAGAACGCGAGAGGTGCTCCTGCCTAAATTCAAGCTGGAGAAGAACTACAACCTGGTGGAGGCCCTGAAGTCCATGGGGATCACAGCGCTGTTTGACCACAACGGCGACCTGGGAGGAATCTCAGACCAGAGGATCGCCATCGACCTGGTAACCGCTCCCTCGTCCACCTATGCACCTGGCTCCCTCGATCTACCGTGGCATAGCCCCCACCCACGCGGTCAGGCTGGGGGCTGAGCCTGCTCTCTTGGGTCTGGCTGGGCCACACCAGGTGCTCGGTCTGCAGGGGCTGGTCAGGGGAGCTGCATCTGCCAGACACTGAGTGGGCAGGAGGCCAGGGCACAGCCTCGGAGCAGCCCAGGTCCTGCTGACACCAGAGCGGAGGGATCTGGT